TAAGCGCAATGATTGCCGCCGTTGGGATGTGCTTCGGGGAGATTACAGCGTCGGCAAGGAAGACTGTGGGGAATAAAGAGGATTTACCGGTGTTGAAGGCGCTGCTGCTGAGTCATGGCGAACTGGGTGACACGGTGGCCGGGTTCGATGGAGTGCTGGCGTTCCCGACGTTTATCTGGTATTCGTTCTATATTCTGAATTTCTTGGCGGCGGTGCCGACGCTGAAAGCCGGATGGCAGGTGGATGCCGTTGGACTGACGGCGTTGTCGGGCGCAGGAATTGTCCAGGCCACGGTGTATTTCGTCTACGTTAACGATAAGGTCAGCATACATAAAATTTTCAGTACATAACACTTTCAAACGAATATAATTGGTAAACATAATTTCATTTAATTTGCAAAATCTTCGGTAAATTGATGATTATAGGCTGAGTCCATCGTCCCCTTTTGCGCAAATTCATGCGCCGGATTGACGATCAACGTCAGCACTCTAAGCTGGTGTCGTACATCCAGAGCGTGCAAACGAATCGTATTGGTTTCACGGTCGGCAAGTTCTTCTTCATTGACCGTGGATTTGTGGCTTCGGTAAGATGCAATACTACAACTATAACTGTACATAATCTCACATATGCATAATAAAGCACAACGTTTCCACGATCCCAAAATGGTGTTAAAATATTAGACATTTTTACAGTTGGGCGGAGTTATCGCCACTTACGTCATTCTGATGTGGGAGCTCGGTGAAAAGGGACTGTCGACTGAGGACCTGCATCTGCTGCAGAAGACATTTCGTGAATGGAGCAACTCGACATGCCGCCGATAAGCGTATCGGGACTTTCGGAGCACATTTTAGTTGGACCGGTAGTCGTGGGCGCTCGCACGGAGCACATCGCTCTGAACGCGCTTGCTTTAATGCGATGTTTCCAAACAGTGCGTCCGTTAGGTGAATTTTCGTGGGCATCCATAGCTTACGTACGCAGAAAACCACGATTTTTCACCACGCTTTGGTCTGTCACGTTTGCTTGACACCCCCTCCCTGGTTCGCTCAGTCATATTACATGGACCAGACCACTCAGTCCCACCGGGGTTCGCCGGGGTCATCGCGGCTTCCCATGTTTCTTGGGCCCTTCCGCGTACGTATGTTATGGATACTCCCGTATTTGTGCTTTGCAATAACGGAAGATACTGCCGCGAGCGCTTATTTTGGGCTCGGTACAATAATCCACGTTTTTTTACAAAATTCTACCCAAACTGGGAGATGTACCGTTCTGCACCCTAGAGCGGTTCCCATTCTCCGAGTTTGGGAAGAGTTTAACACAGAATAAAACCAATAAACACGGTACACCAGGAGCATATCCAATGCGTGCAATTAAATATTCTTACACTAGGCGCACGAACTGGAACGAGCAGGGAAGAGCCTGTTTGCGCAAAATGCGAAGTATTACGAGAATAGGACACCGATAAATGTATAAAAGTATCTGTATATACAGGTAGCAGACAAATCTGAAGAACGCCAGTTAAAAAATAAATGACGAATACATAAGCTGTCGGGATTATTTGTTCGTCGCACCAAACATGTGCTCATCTCTCATTTAAAGCCTGCTGGACTTACCCAACTAAGAAACCATCTGTTACCACAATAAGTTGGGAAAGCGTTAAAACGGCTTGATTTTTTTAATAAATAACTGACGTTCGCGGTTATCGGCCATCGTTTCATTTTAGCTACCCATAGATACTGTAATGTATTGTAGATATCGTCGTTTGTTATTCACTGAGCGTGTTGTAAAAGCCATGTATGAGATTTAACAACGGCAGGATAACTATGAGCACATAGTTGGAGACACTGATCGAATAAGCTAGCATATCTTCAAAATAATCAGAACAAATGTAAGAACCAGTTCCTCAAGTAGTGCCGGAAATAAACAGAAATAAGAACTGGACATCCCTACAAATGTTTTCCGGCATTTGATTTAGCTTATTAACTGCAACTATCGTGTTATTTGTATCATGAGTGGATGCGGAGTGCGACCATCCGTATTAACTGTCTCTGGAGTGCAATTCATACCATCCACTGGGAAAACTCCTGAGAAGAGTTAGCAGAAGTCACATTTGCACGCTACTCCCAGAGCGACGAAGACCAGGAGATTATTATTATCATCGTAAGTACTACTATCCCACAACCAGTATGCACCAGCGATTATTTGCGCGATACTGTTGCCAGCAGGATCTCAGCAGGGCCACAAAATTGGATTAACTAGACATTATAGCTCTACCTGCGGATTATGATTATTTACGACACCCCGTAATGGCGTTCCTAGCATCAGGAATGGTGAGAACCTTTCTTCGTTTTCATCTTGGAATCGTCCATTTCTGTGGTCATGGTTTTTTCCCTTTCTGTCAGTCGCATTCGCTCAGAACGCGTAAGGAGAAGATTCAGAAGTTTCTTTGGAGGATCTGGGTGGTGTTCTTTGCAGTCTCCTGGCTGACATGGTCGGCGGCCGCCACGTACCGTCTAACCGTTGTACCGGCCGCCGGCACCACCACCACGGAGAGCATCATCCTCACCGTGTGCTCTATCATCAACCACGTATTCTTATTCATCGCCTACGTCTATTTAGTATGCAACAATGAACACATCGAGTCCGTTCTAAACACCGTGGACGAGTTCTGCGCCATGTATTTCACAGCGAAAACGAGAAAACGGTTTACCGGCGTTGGCATGCTCATGCTGGCGTTGTGGGGTGTTCTGTACGTGTGTCGCGAATGGCCGTTAGTAGCGACGTTCCGTACTGGGCGAGCAGCGAATATTTCCGGCATCGCGTGGCTGTTTAAGCAGTACGCACCGAAACTGCACCCAGTTTTAGAAAGTCTGGTTTTACTGTTTATCGGTGTGATGACATCACTGTTCACGGGTTACACCATCGTCGTACAGTCGATGTTGAGCATCATTGTCGTGGCGATCGGTATGTGCTTCGGTGAGATTACGGCATCCGCCCGGAGAATCATCCGCACAAAGGAGGATGCACCGTTGTTCAAGGGGCTCCTACTGCAGCATGGTGAACTGGGCGATACTGTGGCGCGTTTGGACGATGTTCTGGCGTTCACGATTTTCATCGTGTATGCGTTTTATGTCTTGACCTTTCTGTCGGCGGTCCCGACGCTGAAAGCGGGATTCCAGCTGGACGCGGTGGGCGTTACCGTGGTGTCCGCCGCGGGATTGGTGCAGGCGACCGTCATGTTCGTCTACGTCAACGATAAAGTAAGCGCCAGTATGCGACCGCTTCTTGCGCCTAGTTTTTTTGCTGAATTTTCTGCCGGTAATTTTTGATACTTTTTTGGCTGTATATATTTATTATTGATTTGCAGTTTGCGTATGCTGTATAATTATTTGTAAATTTAGGCTGAATCTATTGTGCCCTTTCTACGCAAATTCCTCCATCTGGTCGATGATCAGCGCCGGCATGCCAAATTGGTGTCGTACATACAGAGCGTGCAGAAGAATCGCATCGGCTTCACCGTGGGCAAGTTCTTCTTTATTGACCGCGGATTTGTGGCGTCGGTAAGTCAATCCTTCCAATTCCGGATAATCTTTGGCGAACTTTAACGTAAAAAAGAATGCCTTCTAGTTGGCCGGGGTCATCGCTACGTACGTCATTCTAATGTGGGAGCTGGGAGAGAAGGGCCTGTCGCACGAGGACATACAGCTGCTAAAGAAAAGCTTCCACGAATGGAATAACGACATGCAGGATATAGACTGCGACGAAGTTTAAAATTTGTTTCCCGAAAACAGTTCCATATGCTGTATCTGTATGCACGTACAAGCTTTTTCCGTAATTTCTATCATATTAGCATGGCAACAAATTAATAGAAATTCATACGGCAAACTCCATAGTGCGGCGTGGCATGCCACACTATTATTTTACGCTCTACATGCATTTGGTATAACTGGTGTATGCCAACTATCGATCGAAATTATAAACTATCGATATAAATTATAAAGTATCAACTTTTCTCTTTTATTTGCTTCCTCTCTCCTTAATTTTTTCTCCTGCCTAGTACTCCTTTTTTTTTCTCCAGCATTTTCTCATTTTTTTCTTGATATTTAAATCTTAAGAGGACATTGTAGTAGACGTGTGGTGAATTGTGGTGAATTGTCATTGTGGTAGACGAAGTGTAATGGCAATCGTTCTGGGCGCAACTGTTAGCGAAAAAATAAATATGTGCTGTGCTTTATCTGTACCTCTACGATAGAAATTACGGGACAAGCTTGTAAGCAAACTTCTATCAGCTCTGTATAACCTGCTTCTAAAATTAACGGCACCTAATATATCGAGATAGTTAAAGGGAGAACAGAAATTTATCCTGAAGTACCAATAATTAGTCGATCGCACAACTATAAGTTAGGCATTCCCTATGGTTATAAGTACCTCCTCATCGCCAAGTTTCGCTGCGATGTATACCGACATTACTTGTATGGATTTTCGCATTATGTTGATCGATGTTAAATTAAATACGGGCAAAATTATGATGGCATTGTTTTTCGTAGTGCCGTCTAGGCACGTACCGCATTGTAGCCAGCATACAGCTTAGGACAAAATGGTCGCATACCCAATATCTCCACATTCAGTACGAATGCAGCGCAGTGCACTGTACGACTGAGTTCAAAATATCCGTTTCGTACAAGTGCACTGCACCGCTTGCGTACAGAATGCTGGGTATGGGGCTATGCGACCATTTAGTCCTACATTGTATCAAAAGCGACGTAATCAGCGTCGATTGTATTAGCAATTTCGTCTGGCTGTACAGTGAAATGTAGCCTTAGGCAATGAAACGGTAATCAAGGAAACGGTATTCGGCATCAATGTTCGTCTAATTTGGTTTAGTTTCGCATTATCACGTCCAGATCTCGCAGATACGGGATTATTTTTGAAACGCTTAGATATATCTGTTATTTGGGTTGTCTGTTATCTTCGGCTTTTTAATCACACAAAATCTTTTCAGCCAAGATTTATAGGCAGTTTTATGACCATAAAAATGTCATTCAGCACAAATTCTATGAGCTTCACGCGCATTGGCCTCATAAAATCAAATACAGAAACATGAAACCCTTGGGGGTATTTCCGGGTGGCGTACATAGATCGTCAGTCGGTCGTAGACCTTCGCGGCAAGACTACGACGAACCGAATTAAGGCCAGTTACAGTTGTTAGCTTGAATTGTCATCTCCACCAACGCTCCATCCGTCATCGCACCGCCGGTACGCAGATGGCCGGCCCAGGGAAACTACAATGAGAAGATATGGCGGTACGTACGGTGGAGAGTGTGTGCAGTACTGAATCAAAGGTTTGTGCGGCTTACGACGGTGCAGTTGTGTGTCTTGCAGAAATCCGCGATGGCTTTGTCCACCAGCGGGAATTCGCTGGGCCCGTTGACCGCCAGGGCCAGCAGATCGTGGACGTTCTCCCATTTACAGCCGGCCTCGGTGAGGATCTGGTTGGCCAGGGTCATGACCTGGATGGCTTCGTTATACGTGCCGCCGTACGTGATGATGGAGCGGTCGGCGAAGGATTTAAAGGCGCGTATCGAGGTCATGTACAAGATATCTCCCACTTTGATCGCGTATCTACACCACAAGAACAGGCCACACTTGAGTTAATCAAAACCAGATCAAGATCGATCAAACTGCCATTAGCCGATCAAAACATGCTAAATGTATGCATGCAGCGTGTTGCATCCGCTGATTTCTACAGATTACGATTTAGAAAGGCGGGAATCGGCCGAGAACTGAATAATAAAATCAACAGGCAATGTACAACAAGAACCCCAATCCAATGCGCATAAATCGCCAGCACCGGTTTCGAACTGCAAAGCGCTTATTTGCGTAGTATGCGTGAAAAGGCGTAGCATACAACCTTCTTTCCAGTTCCATATACAAGTATGCAGCACGGTAATTTACGTATAACTTTTACATTCCTGACTATGCATTTTAAGTATAGGTTTCACTATCAAAAAAAGGCGGGAGACGGGAGCCAAGCGCTTACGTTTGAAATGAAAATGCATTACAAAAACCCGAGTAAACGATAAGAAAAGGTCACGCTTACTGCCATGGCCGGTTGTCGGGTTTGGGCGGCGCCACCGTATTGTTAATGGTAATAATGTGGGTCTGGGTCACGGCGACACACGTGCAGGGAGCCGGGGTGTAGGACGGGGCCGGTGATGTCCCGTAATCGGCCGCATTGAGTCCTATCAACAACCGATGCAAAAATCAGAAAAAATATAAGAAAACGTGGGAAAGAAGCGGATCAGAAAAAGCGTCTGTACCCAAAGCGTCAACCAAGCACCGTACGTACCGTAGACGTAAAGAACGAAGACGGCGAAAGCTGCGCGTGCGAAGACCATGTTGGTTGGAGATTATTATTCAACGGGGAAAAATAAACTCTTTCGATACAACGCTACCGCGACAAGTCTTTATATAGCTCATGCCTGTCAGATCGCTTAACGTGTTTAGCTGTTTATGGTGGCGCTTAAGGGGACACATACGGGTCAGCTGGTTTATTAGGAAAAGGCTGCAAAACATTTATGTTCATTACCGTGTAATTACCCAGCTGATTTACGGCTGATTGAATTTTGTATTGAACATCACACCATGACATCGCCGCACGACACCGGCGCATTATCCAAACGAATTTGACAAAAAATGTTTACGTACGGCACATGGCAATAATTAGCTGGTGAATTCGAATAGCCATAGTTGCGGCACACGGCGCAACGCGCTGATTAGTTATAGAATAAACCGCACCGTCAGCCATTACACGGAATCGGCTGGTAATTTGGTTTCTTCTTCGTTCCTGCCCGTTTTCCGTCAGCGGCGGCGGTATTCAATCAACCTGCAGGCACATACCGACACGCTGTACACGCCGGGTCATGTCACATGTGGAACTGTGTTTGATTTCGGATATAATTATTATTTATTGACCGGAGCGCAGCGAGGGGTCCCTGCAATGTATGCAGACAATATCGTAAACTGTCTACCCCAATCAGTCGGCTTGCGCGTCTGTTTGTCTGCCGGTTACGGAAGCGGGAAATCGCAGCGTTAGAAGAAACCACGTCGCGATGTCTGTATGCGTCAGCGGAGATACCAGGAAGTTAATTAATAACGCACATGCGCATCAATTAAATAGCGATGGTTACGGATATAGGTATTACGTGCTGGTAAAGTTTTGCGGGATACAAAGAGTTACAAAGAGTCACCGACAGCGGCATCCGCTGCGGTCTGCCTTTGCACATAAACATGCATTTTCTAGGTGTATTATGTAATATGAATTGCTTCGTATCTCGAATTTCGATGATTTTAAATCGGATTTTTTTTAACCGGCCCCCGAACAGCACAGTCGGTCCATTCGCAATGTTTCTACTGTTTATTTTGTTTTATGAAAAATTTGTATTATGCTCTATGTCTTATGCTTCGGATTAATGGACATTAAAATAATTTTTGGAACTTTTGTTTTACTAAGAAATCCTAATGTTCCATTTTACATACCGATTAGCATGCACGATACCTATCTGTACAGTTATATGTGCAACAGAAAGAATGACAGAATTATAAGAAAATGCAAAGATGTTATCGACTAGTGTATGAATGAGGAGATTACCCGCCATAACAATAATTACATTTATAGCATATTTTTGTTAATTGCTCATGCAATTATGCCTAATCCTCTCCAATTTAGAGATTCACCCCGAATTAAGACCATGTCGTGCCGTTATGAACTTGTAGTCGTATCCCGGTACATATATTATGTTGAATTTGTTCATTAATTATGTTAATTATGTAAAACTTTTCATTTTATTATAGTCAATTTCCCAGCCTTAATTGACCTGGAGGTCAACAAGAACGGTTTGTTGTGCCATGGGTATTACAATTACGATGCCGAAGTAGACGGAATGGCCGTCATCCACACGCTCAACGCGGACAGTGTAAACCACTTTAACAACGTCATGGCGATTAACGGCCGCAGGGTCTTCTGTCTGGTGGTGGTTTTTTGCTGTTCGATCCGATTAATGCGCGGTGCGGTTAACCATCTGTGAAGTAATAACATGCTGGCATATCGCTTTCTACAGCGGAAACGAGGGGTAGTGGACACTCCGTTTCCCACTCAGGAAATAGAAACGGACAGATGATATTGCTAAAACCCTAGATATTATTGCAGATAATATTGCTTTAAAACGGTAGGTATTATTGCTAAAAAGTAGCGGCAACGCAACTAAGGGATTCTGAGTTTATGCAAAACGTACGTGTGTTGGAGCCATCTGTGCGACGCATGTGGCGTCCAAACCTGACGAGACCGGAAACTGGTTGTTTTCTTGCTTCAGAGTGTCCGTCGGTTCTGCCAAGGGAATTTTAGTAGGCTGTTCTAGCGGTCTGGTGGTCCGACAGAGAAAGCCAAAGGGTATACTGTCTTGCAGTGTAAAACGAATGACGACAATGGACTGGCACCAGGATCATGTCGGTGGACCCACCGGCAGGTGGTTTCTTCGAGATTCTAGTGATCGTCATTATACGTTGCTGAAAAAGGTGAATACCGCCGGTACCGGTAGTATACTGTACGTACTCTGTACGTCAGCGGGCACTCTTTGGTTAATCCGGCTGTTAGCATGGAGAAAGGCGTAGTCGGTAGTGATACTGACCGTCGGTCGGTAGTGATACTGACCGTGAAACAGTCGGTAGTGATACTGACCGGAAGCTGATGAACGCTGTTTACAACTTTACATGGGGGACAACAGCTGGTATGTATGCTCATTCCGCTGCAGTTAAACAATATAATCGACCGAAGCGTAGCGAAGGTATTCTATGTTCAAGAATAATGAAAAATGTGTCGTCTGTGCGTTGGTCACCGCCACCAAATGCAAATATGCACGGTGATGCTTGTAACCGGATGCGCGCATATGCACGGTAAATGTTTATATCGGCCGTTGGTCATCTCCTCGATATGATCAAATCCAAATCTTCTTCTGGATGGGTTTTTCGCATGTGATATGGTGTACATCCGTACGGAAAGGTCGGATGCTGAAAACCAGTCTTCGGTTATCGGTGGCGTGGATGTGGTGGAGATTTACCAAGTGATAAGTCAACTGCCCATCCAGGAGCCACCGTTGCTGCAGAAAACCCAGGGACTGCTGTACACCAAGCACTTCATTCCCTGGGCCACAGCGCCGTTGGGTTTCGGCACAACGCTCGGCGCTTTATTGAAGAGCTTCGTGAGTCGTACGAGACTCATGCATCGGTGAAAGACATCGTTGACGCCTGTCGCTTCCATCTTCGCCTCAGCGCGGATGGGTGTACGGTGGTAATTATTGCCACTCAGAACGACACCACAACTATGGAGTGGACGCTGCTAGTGCAGGTTCTGGGCAACTGCTTGTCGTCTACAGGGAATCTGCCGCCACTCGCCCACCCTAACGATAATTTACCCCCCCCCACCCTACGATAATAATCTACCAAGTACCGAAAGTTAAGTTACTACCAAATCCAACACCTCAGACCGTATTCAGCAGATAACTCCGCCATTTACTACGTCGCGCATTTGTGGCGGTGATTTCCCATATCAGTGCATGTACCGGCATAATTTATTCCACATAGCTGAAAAATTTATGTTTTTTTGTACAGTTTCGAAACATGTATTTGAAACATTTACTTATTTGCGAAATTTTACTTAATTGCGGACAGAGGTTAGAGGCCGAGATTTCACTTGACATTGTACTAAAAATTCTACTAACCGGAATGAGAGCATCACATAATCGAAGAGGATTGTCTACAGTAAAAAGCTGTGCCCATCACTCTGTATACAGTCCTGCTACGCTTCGATCATGCAGTGCCCGCAAAAAGCGAGCGCACTTTCCTAGTGTAAGGTCATCGCAAAAGTTTATTAGAAACTACACAAAGCAAGATTCAGTAAGAAAAGCAAGCTAATGAGCTACGGCTGTGTAAGCGCGGGGCAAGCGGCGCGGAGCAAAAATTAATCAGGAAGATTCTGAGCAAGCTGCAGTATGACTGATTTCAAGATCTCTGATCGCGAGGTGCGGTCGGTAAAATGTATGGAAATTTGGATTTTGCTGTTTATTAGTACAGCAACCAATCAGCCGTAGAGAAGAGTAATTACCACCCCACCAACGGTACAGTCTAATTTCGATCGCTATAAATATTATGTTGACGTCGTGTATTAGTCTATCAAACTGCGCTCCGTCGAAAAGGAGACAAAAAGTCTTAATATACGCAGTGTTAAGGAGATCATACGTGTTGTACAAACGTTAGTAGCTCCTTTAATAATTAGTTTAGCTAAGTTTAGTTTATCTCCAAGCTGCCTCATCGCTAGGATCGTCTTCCCGATGCATCGCGCGGTAACATCGATCGGCTCTGTCCGGTGATGTCCATATCTCTCGTGCTGTTTGGCTGGAAGGGAACCATGCCGCACCTGTATGACAGCAGTGAGGTATCCTCCCGGTTGCGGATCATGAATAGCCAGGCTGCTTCCTTTTGGCGTCATCGATCGTCTGCCGGTGTAATCAACAGCTGGCGGTGCACTTCCGGTGCTGTACAATCCCGGTCCTGCCGGGACAATTCCTGCTGCTGCCCTGCAGCAAACGTTACTGGGCATGAATAAGTGCGTGTTATCGCTGTTCGACTCTTAGCGTCCCAGTATTGATCCAATCGGGAAGCGAGGTGCTGGGGTTGCCTGTTTTTTAACCAACAGCCCGGTGTTCGCTACAGCGTTCATTTCGTTGCATTGACAATTAGTGGTGCGACGCTGCGCCAGTTAGAACTGAATGACCAATCTAACCAGCCGGTTCCACTGCACGTTCAAAAACTTGCCATACTCTTACGGTGCGATACTGCACTAGTAATGCTGCGGTCGGTTAAACTTGTGTTTTTTAGTTTTGCTTTTGGTTTCACCTCAATGCGATTCCTTCATTATGCTTATTCCTTAAGTTTAGTTGAAAAAATCGCCAGTCCTTTGACATACCGAACGACTACATTTTCTATCCTTCAGTGATTGCAGCCTGTATTGCTTATGTTTTGCCCAAAAACGACGCAGGCCAGATAGGCAACACAGGTTGCAATCAGTAAAACCAAAAACATAACTTCGTCCACCTTGATACTTTCGGGTAAGCATTTGGTGCATTCGATACATGTCAGTTGCATATGCTATGGAGTAGGTGTTTATTGCATGCAATACTGTTTTGTATTGCAGAGTTTTGTGAAAAGTGTTTCTCGCATTTATTGCACGTACTTTATATTGCAGCTTATTGGAAAAAACTGAAATGAACTTACAACTGAACCTAAAATGGGCATAAAACTATAAAGAAGCAGGCATTATTTTATTAAGGTCATTAACTGACAGCCGTTACCGTTTGGTCCGTGAAGAAATGAAAAAAATCAATTCTTTAGGGCGTTTGTCAAATTTGGAGAGATTTAACAAGCGCCCATGAGATTGATTTTCAATTTCA